CGAACTCCTGACCTCAGGTGATTCATCTGATTTGGCCTTCCAAAGTGCTAGGATTACAGCCATAAGCCATGTGCCTGGCCTGTTTGTTTTTAATGCAAGATGCTATCTCTAGTGCCTGCAGGCATAGGATGCTGATAGACAGAGAAGTGGTGGAGGGCTATTCTAGTCTGTGGAAGCAGTGTTAAAATTTAACACACATACTAGTACATTGGATTGGGACCGTGAATTGGGGAATCACTCTGAAGTAACTGGAACCAGGTTCCCAGAGGGAAGGGGTTCTCGAGGTAGCATTGGGTCAATCCATGAAGAAAATTGAATGTAATCTTAAGGGATAAACAGGGATAGCAAATTTTCACATGCCTTTAGTTTGATCTATCATTTTCCTTAGTGTCCCTATCCCACCTTTATTTTCTCAGTCCTTTGGAAAAGTTCCTGGGCAGGGTTTATTTTTGTGGTTGGATTATATGATAATGTATATCTTTAAGCAAATTATTCACAATACTATTTTCTGCTACTGGGAGTGCCAAAATCTAATTAGATCTGCCACATTTTTTTTTCTGCCAAAAAAATGTATATTACAAAAGTTGTTTTTACCCTATAAAAATGTGTGATTTTCCATAGCTAATAGAAGAGAACCTACATTTAGGAACCTACACTGATAACCAGTTAGTACTGAGATTTATGTGTATATAAACATAGTTTGTATGATGTATATACATTAATGTATTTGCTACAGAAAAACATATGTCATAGTGTACATTTTTTCATTTAAATTATGATTTAAAATATATACACCATTTGATGGGTTATCCTGATTCTTCTTTTACCAGTCTGCACATTGCATGAAAATCATTTATGACCGTGATTGATTTAATTGAACCTGATTCTGAGAGAACAATGTTTTAATTTAAAATGTTGGGTGTTTTCCCCCGAATCTGAAGAGAGTTGGGCTGATTTGCATTTCTTTCAGTTCTGAGTGTTAAGGGTAATATATTATGAAACATCTTTTCTTCTTGATATATATGCACATTATTTTTCATTATTTCTGTTTTAATATTAGAAATCATAGTTTTTTGCATGGAGTATCTTCAAAACATTTTTAGTAAAATTATCAGGTACACGAAATAGAAAATAAAAGACAAGACTGGAGGAAAAGGGGAATTAAGACAGGCAAAGAAGAGAGACTAAGTTTTTATATTTTCTAAAGTAGAGTAGATATTCCGAACCCAAATGTTTTAGAAGAGAATAAAGAACTCTAATAATTTTATGAGTTAAAAAGTATTTTGCATTTTTGCATGACTAGCTAAAATATAATTACAGGACTTCAGCTATTTATTCATTTTTCACGTATTCATTGGGAACCTGTATTGCAACAGTTTGGGGTACATCAGTATTTAAAACAAAAACACTTGTTCTTGTGGGATTTATATTTAACATTTTCTAGAAAAATATCATACAAGCCTTCTTATTCCATCAGTTTATTGAAAGAGCATGTACAGTAACACATTTGTCTTACACATGTAACATTTTCACACTTGTATATCTGAAGGTATTATGTGCATTTAGGCTGAGGTTTCATTTTAATCATGGTAGCAATATTTCAGGCTGTCTTTACATTTTCAAACTCCTTTGCCCGATTTCATGTTAGATTTCAGTAGTTCATCATTTGTTTTTATTACTCATTTTTGTACTTGTCTTTAACGACATAATCCATGTAAGAGAAAAATCTCATCTTCGTTATTGGTTTGGTGTTTATTTTTGCTTATTTTATTAGTATCATCTCTAATCCATATTATCTCTATGAGATTTCCCCCCCTAAACAATTCTAACTTCAGTTAAACTAGATAATATAACTTAAAAATCTACTTAAACGGGAACACATAAATTGCTTCACATTCACCTATAATACCATAATATTGTCTGAAGGAAAAATTGGACCTCGTCTGAGATTTCAGGAAAGTACTCTTGAGGAAGTAGAAGTGTTGATAGGAGAGTGGGGAGGAGGAAAAGGAGGTACTACAAAGGTGTGTGAGAGTGGGTGCATCCCTATTCAGATGTGCACAGGGGCGTTTTAATGTAGGCAGCCATATCTGAGACAGATAAGGTTAGGAGAACAGGATAGATGTGGGAAATTATGGAATATTTGTAGGTAACCCAAGTGACCAGGTTGAAGCTACTTGCAGGGAATGGGTAAGGGCTATAGCGAGCAGAGCCATCAGATAAGATAGGGTCTTACTGTGGTAAGGTGCGTACATAATTCAGTGGGCAGTGAAGAGCCACTGCGTATTTCCAGATCTGATGGATTTGAACAGACAAACTGCAGGTGGGAAGACCATGTAAGAGAGGTAATGAGGGACTGGCAGTGAAAATAGATAAAAAAAAAGAGTGAAAGATATTATGAAGATGCATCAAAAGGAATTGAGCAACTCATTTGTTTTAAACTTATGGTACTGACTAGCAATTTTGGTAAGGTTTTAACGGGACAGAGAGTTATTGGAAATGTGGTCAATAGAAAAGTGGGATGGATCCTAGAAGAGATTTTTTAAAGATTTTTGATCCTTTCTAACCTTTGTGTTCCTGCTTTATAATCACAAATTCAGCTCTGGATAGCAGGATTTGGGTTTAGACACAGTTGTGGTTCATCTTCAAAATACAAGTTGGTTTTGTTTTTTTTTTTAAAGATTGATTTGCATTTTATGTTTCGTGTTGAAGACATTTTAGTTCAATTGTTCCACTTGTAGAGGCTGCATCAGGTAGCAGTTAAGTGAGCAGGGCCCAGAGCCAAGTGCTCAGACTCCAGCTGTTGACTTACTAGTTATGTGCCCTTTGTCATATTATTAATACTTAATTTCTCTATGTGTTGATTTCTTATCATCCAAGTGGGCTTCTATTAAGTAAGGTCACGGTGAGGATCCAATGAGTTAATAGCATATGCTTTAACAGTGCCTACCTGAGAAGAACAAAATCGATGGCGTTATGGTTTCTAAAAGGAAAAGCATCTGACAATATGTAACCAGATAAATCAAAATCAATTTGTTTGTATTTTCTTGACGTTAAAGGAGAGCTCAAAAACATAATTTTACATTTTATTTGTGATCCCTCATCCAAAGTGAGGCATAATCCCAAAGGACTCTGTTTGTGTAAGTGTGAGGGCGCGAGTGAGTGGGTGCGTAGGTGGCTTCTCACTGCCTTGCCTGATACAGTTAATTCAACTCCAGAAAACATAGTACCTCAAATAGGAGATTGCTTAGAAATGAGTGTTGTCAGAACATAAAAGTTTTACAGAGAATTGTGAATCACTAATAATCTCCGTATTTTTTTCTTGACAATTAAGAGAATAATACAAAATTATTCTTTTTTTACATTTTTTACTCTTTTTGCTTTTGTTCTCTTCTTTTCCATGCTACTTATTTTCAGTGAAAAGCATAAATAAAATACAGCAAACTGAGAAAGAAGCCTTTAGTACTTAGCCCAGTCAAGTATGCATATCTTAGGATTATGTGATTCCGGAAGTTACATACTACAGAATAAGGAACATATGCAACCCGATCCACTAATCACTTAGATATTTATTTTTAAAATCCTAGTCTTTTAAAAGCTTTCCTATTCTGATATGGCTAGTCACACTGACGTTGTGATGCTGCGCTGTTCATGAACTATTTTCCAATATTATACCATCTATGAAGCAAATCTGTGTACAGTGGAGTCATGTCTCAAATGATCAGTTATAAAAATGTGCATAGAAATAGATATTGAAATTTTTTGTAATGTCTTCAGGACTAATAAAGAGCTTAAGAATAGTCTTTTGTTGGACAGCATTTTTTTTTCTTTGCTTTTTTTTTTTTTATCTTTACCTATTTGCAAGACCACGATTTTTTCTATAGATTACAAGGTGCTATGTTTGATTACTCAGTAACGTCCCGCTGTTTTGACAGGCTTTGCATTAGCATGGCCCATTCAGCTGTTGGTGAGAAATGCCAGTTGCCATGGTGAAGATTATGATGTCCCATATCCAATCTGTCCCTGAGATGGGGATGGCCTTTGCAAAACCACATGCAAATATTTGTTTTCAAAGGTACAACTGGCTCTTTGTGAAGCACTGGATTACTAGAGTGGTTGTCTTTCCAATGAATCATCAAATGAGGATCTATTACTGCATGATTTCCCCTTTTGTTTAAATAAACTTCCACTGCCCTCTATCTCAGTGCCCGTTGACAGAGAATCAGATTTCATATTGTATAATTTGACTGTCCTTTTTATTTACACAAGTTAATGAGTTTATCTGTTTAACTGTCTAATTTCTCTATTTGATTGCCTCAGCGCTGACCTTACATGCATGGGTTTGTTGGTTTTTTCCCTGAACTCACAAGTAGAGTTTTCCATTTTCCTGTGGATCATGTCCAGGCACCACAGATACTTCCATGGAAGTAAGAATGACCCTTTGAACATCAAGGGATGTTCTCCAAATCGGGGCTTTTCTTAAGAATATGTATCAAATATTAGTATGAATGTTTTTAAAATACAGATTTTTTTCTTTTGTTTTGTTTTTAATTTTGGGATTACTTGTCAATATAAGTAAAAGGAGAACTCCACTAAAAAAGCCTTTAATAAAATTTCTGAGAGTCACCAGTTCGCAAAACTCTTGCACTACCATCACTAAGGGTAATATTGCTTCTATTAATTAGTTTATAATTTATAATTTAAACTAATAATTAAAATGACAGTGTAATTAGTTTAATGGTTTTAACAAGTAATGTAAATATGCATATACTAGTTTTATAAAACAGCCTGTTTCTGTGGCTTACTACTGCATTTCCTTTACCTTCTGTAAAGAGTATACTGCAGGTTTGATAAAATACAGAAGAATCTGGGAGACAAAATAAAATGTGCTACTTGTATAAAATGTCCTCTTCCAAAAAAGAAAGAAAAAGAAACAGGAAAGAAAAAGGGAACTGTGGTGACACATTGTGAGGCTTATGATAACTATGTTTGCCTTTCAGATCCCCAGCTCAAGGGCATAGTGACCAGGTTATATTGCAGGCAAGGCTACTACTTGCAAATGCACCCCGATGGAGCTCTCGATGGAACCAAGGATGACAGCACTAATTCTAGTAAGTGACAACCACAGGCCTCCAGTTACACACTTGGTAGAAGATAAACTGCTACTTAAATGACTTTTTAAGATTCATTTGCAAATGTTTGGTCATGTTGGTTCATCTTTACCAATATTATGTGCTAGAATGCCATTTACAATTTTATTTAAACTATGTGGATGAAAATATTCATGGGACAACCAAAGACACCTGTGATTTAAAGATAATTATGTTCCCATTTTTGTTTTTTATTCAAACAATTGTCAAACCCAGAAAATTACTGTTAATCTTATTATAAAAATTAAGTAAGTACACTAGCGTATTTGGGTAAAAATCGATTACATGTTTTCTTTGGATGCATTATTTAATTGGGCCCTAAGGTTCTTAATGACGCCTGTGAAAATTCAAAAGCTACAAGGAATCGTTTTGGCTTTTTTTTTGACACAATAGAAATATAATTTAAAATTATTTGTATTTAACAAGAAAAATAGTATCTTTCTTAGACAAAAAAATAATGAAGGTTGTGTACCTCTAAATTCATTGTGCAAAAATGTTTAACTACTTTAGATAATTGCATCTTTGATAATTTTTAATTAAAAAGCCACACATCTTCCATTGTATTAATGTCTGTGGGTTTTTTTCCTATTTCTTCATGTATAACATTTCTCCGTCTGCTGTCTCTCCTTACTCAACTGTCTGTGTTTTGCTCTTCCATTTTCTGTTTACATTGGCATCTGATTCTTTTTTAATTGAGCATACTAGTTCCAAAATAGCATACTTTTTACTATTTGGGGGAGTTAGTAAAAAGCAAAACTGTTTTTATTAGAAATATTTAACCATAAGAAACATTATTAGTGGATCAAAAGTAGATATGATTTTTTTCATTTATGTATCTCTTATTCTTCACATAAAAACATCATTCCATGAAAAGAAGTGTGGATTTGAGTAATACACATAATCAGATCAGAAGGGACTTCCTTTTAGATTTATTTTTATTTTATTATTTTTTATCAGCTCAATTGAAGATTCAGCACTTCCTTTTTAAAAATCAAATGATCAACTTGCCAGTAACACTGATTCTGAGAGCAGCTAGTGATATAAAACAGATTATTTTTACATGTGGTTTTGGCATGTGACATACTGTTATTTTTCTAGTCATTGTGTTTCGCTTTTTATACTTTGTGCATTGCTTCACTTTTTATTTTTTCTTCAATTTCTTTTTAATTTTTGAGTTTGTCTGCATTTTTCTCAATTTCTAACCTCTTTACTCTGTGTCTCATATTACTTTTTTATTTTTAAAATTTTCTTTTTCTATTTGTTTATTGGTTTACTTTTGCTTTATTTCCTTTTTGATAAAGGGAAAGAGAAGGTAAAGCAACTCAGCTACAGAGGAAAGGGGAGGCATTTCATGTCACACATTCATCTGTGCAGCTTTTGTTATTAGTTGGGACTTTCAAAGATTTTTGGTACTTGATGATCTTTGACCAACAAAAAAATGTCAGCTTCTTATGGTTCAGGCTCATACATGTGTCTCTGCTCTGTTTCTTTTCCCCTTTAACTCCTTTCTTATTTGTTGACAAAAGCCATTTTCTGTCTCTTCTGTCTTACTGTTGTGTAGGTCACAGAGTTTAGGGATTCATAATTCCTGATGTCTTCATTGTTCTCTGATTTTGTTTGGCCTGAGAGTATTCGAACATGAAAACTAGTTTTCCATAACTCTGATCACTAGATGAGCTATGACACTCTGAAAGATTCATCAGACTAAATACCGATGCCATCCTTTTATGACAAAAGTTTTCAATACAGGACATACACTATAGCTGCATGAACATATGGCTTTATTGGACTACCAGAAAAAATAATTTCATTCAAACAAAGGTTTTGTGTGTTTTTTCTCTATATTTTTAAATTTGTGTATGTTTTTGTCATACCAAACAAATTAGTTACCTTTAAAGACAGGAATCAATATCATTTTAAGAAGTGTCTATTAAACATTGCCTTTTAAAAGCATACTGCTTCAGAATTGAATAAGCACTTTCTAATTATAGAAGTGCAGATTTATTATATGCACGTGTACAGGTCTGGTTATCTGAATAATTTTAAAGACTAAACTTGAAAGCTGAGATGCTAAAACACACTCCACCTTCTGTTCTCTAAATGTATGGGTTTTTTCTTTCTTCTTTGTCTGCGGAAGAAGGAGCGAAAAACTCAGAACAAGTCTTGAAATTTCTTCTGACACCCTAAATGCTAGTGAGAAACAGTCCTGAGAAGGAAGATGAAACAGGATCCCCTTTAAAAGCAAATCAGAAGAAAAGTATAATGCCCAGGCTCGAGGGACTCAAATTCCTATGCAAAGGCATGCCCCACAGCTTTCTGAGGCATTGTATCGCATTGCATGTGCACTGTAAGCCAGTTAGTTTAGTTTGTTACTATTTCAACATTTGCAAAGAAATAAAGGAAAACACACGGTAAAATAAATGTTCCCTCCTCAAAAGGGTATACAAATTCTATTACTATAAAATTTAATAAAATTGGCAGGATTGTTACAATCTGTTACAGATTTATAAAAGTAATGGAAATTACTAATTTATTTTTATGTCCTATGACTTATATAAATGGCAAAATGGGGATTCTTAGGATGAATTTAAAGACATTTTCTTTTCTCTGGTTCATTTCAGTAGTCTCATAAATCCTAGGAAAAATGTAAGCACTGAAAATTTCTTTTAAAAGCAGGATGTGCTTTAATAAGGCTGACATGTCCTACTTAGAGTACAGCTCTTTTGTTGTGAGGAGGGAGGTGATGCAATAATGCTTGAATCATTCATAAACATGCCTCCATTGGTTTACAACTCCCTAAATGCAAACCATGGGTTAGTTATTCATAACTAGGAAAAATAATAAGAAATAACCTAAAACTAACCGAGATAGCACTCTAAAAGTCACTAACAAAATTGAAGACTTCAACGTCCGTATCTTCATGATTTAGGTTCAATACATTTCCCACACTAAATATAGAATTATTTGGAATAAGAAAAAGACAGAACCATCCTGATAAACTGCCTTTGTTAAAAATTTCGGATGAATTAAGAAGAAGAAAAAAGGCCCACTGGTAGGTGAACGTTGGCACCCCTGTTCTCCAAGGTTTCCAGTCTAAGATCTAAAGATCTCTGGGAAAGAAAAGTAGCAAAAAAATCACTGATGACAGGTAAATGGTTCTAGTGGAGAAAATGCTGTAGCAAGTTGATTACTTATTATTGACTACCATAATAATGGAAAGATCTTTCACAAAAGGAAGTGAGCACCTAGGTAACCTCATTGCCACTCTCATTTGAAGAATTTCTTTAAAATTCTTCTAAACGTGAGCATCCCCATGAACGATGGTATTTTATGAGTGGGTGATTTTTCTTTTCCCCGTTTGCTTTTGGGGATGCCAAGGATTTTTTCTGTGCTCTTAAATTTCACTGTTCCTATGACAGGCAATAGATACTACAAGCAGAATAGGACTCTACATATATCCGTCTGCGATTGACTATGTCAATGTTAAAATCTCAGAAGTCCCTCTCACCTTAGAAATTCTCAACCTGGTAACTTGATATGTAAAGTATTTCGATCACTCAGTGGCTACCACCCACAGGCTTTAGGATGGCAGTTCTCACCTTGGTTGTATATTAGGGCCATTTGAGGAGCTTTTCAAAAAAAATTCCTTATGTCCTAAACCCATTTCCAGAGAGTGTGGAATTTAATAGCTATGGGGTTGAACCTGGCCATCCTGTGTTATGAACACAGCTGGTTTTTATATGTGGCCAGAGTTGAAAATCACTCTTATATAAAAAAACTAGAGTGTTGCACAAATGAACAAAGTCGTAAAAACATCTTCATTATTCTTACTCCCCTAGGCTTTGTGACATTGCCTTATAATTATATAAGAAACAAAGAGAGTGGAGAAATAGAATTATGTCTCAATTAATGTGGGTTTCTGTGGTTTTAATTAGCACAGTTCCGTCTTGGCCAGCTCTGAATGGTTCTCCACATTTTAGTGTATATAAGCGTTCACTTTCTACTCTCATTCTGTAAATTATGATACCTTGTATTTTATAATTCACATCCCAACCAAAATCCAAGGGAAAAAAACTAGTATTTTTTCAATATTATTACTTTAAACGATCTTGTATAATTTTTCTGTTTCCCACAACCACATCATTTTGCTGAATTCATGGTCTATTTGTTTTCTAGAATTATACTACCTGGCCTATATCAAATATCTGGCACCTACAAATACCATTCGGAGTGTGTGAAAGTTAGAAGAGGAAGTTAGAATAATCAACTTTGAATTAATTAGGTTAGTGTAGCTTGCATGGACAGGCATATGGTTATGGTTTTCCCACTACAATTTTTTGCATAAATCAGGAATTATTCTATGGTGCACATTCTTTCAAGATGTCAGGGAGATGGTACAGTTCAGGTATTCTAAACAAGAGTGAATACAGCCATTTCCCACCAAGAAGGAATACTGAGTTGCCAATAGCGCAGCTATACCTCCCAATACTTAACAACTCCACATCCAGATTTAATATTAAATAATGGAAATGAGGGGGGAAACCTTATTCTTTCATAAGAATAACATAATCCCCTAAAATCCTATAGCAGAAAATCTGATATTAGTTTACATAGTGAAACTAATATCCAACTAACCATAGAAGCCCCCGAGTATTCTTCCAGTGATAATTATCCATGGCCCTGGCCTGAGGTTTTCTTTTAATATTTGTGTAGCACAGACATCTTGGGATCTTGAGAACAGTAGCATGTGATAATCAGAAGAGAGGGTGCAATTTTCTTTGCCCTATTAAGAGGAAACATGTCCCTGAGAGTTAAATAGAACACAATTTGTAAAGTTTGTTTTTAATTATGTACTACTTAGAACCTTGGAATGAAGTCCAAATTGCCGACATGTTTCAAATGTTTGGCTTTGTGCAATACAGTTGAGAGCCTGACGCTGGAATTGTACTTACACATTTATGTCACTATTTTAGTACTTTCAGTTCCTGTTCTGTCCTGCTAAGAAAATTAGTTAAGAAGGACTTGAGTAGGAGCAGATAACCTCACTGTAAATAATTAATAGTTCTCTTATAAATGTATCTATAATAAAATTTCCAAAATCATCAAGCAGTTATTCTTAAGAATGATGTGGCCAGGCGTGGTGGCAGCCACCTGTAGTCCCAGCTACTTAGGAGGCTGAGGCAGAGAATTGCTTGAACCCGGGAGTTGGAGGTTGCAGTGAGCGGAGACTGCACCACTGCATTCCAGCCTGGGCAACAGAGTGAGAGTCCATCGCAAAAAAAAACAAAACAAAACAAAAAAAAACCAAGAATGATTCTGGAACACGCACTAAACATTCAATATGTAACACTGGCATGGAAATGTGTTAAAGGGATATTAAGATTTTTTTTAATGTTATAATGTTGCTATCTGCACTATGCAAAAATATATAAAATGCTTTTAATGCTTTATCAACAGGGAAGAAACAAAACATGGAAACCTGAGTAGTCTCAGACATTTGCATGCCATTCAGTTTTGATTAGTTCTTTCTAAATTTAGCTCGTTGGCAGGTGCACATCCTTTCCTGGCTTTGCCGGCGTATCATGTTGGTTCCACAACAGTAATTTAGTTATGAAATCACCTGTTTAACTTCTGGTCTGACCTCATTGCAATGACAAATCACACCTTCTGTGTGAAGGGTTAGAATCAACATTCAACTTGGACTTTTAAAATTCTGCTCTTGGAGAGTCTTCACGGTTGATTTCTTTTGGTATCTAATGGTGTCAGAGACTACGTTTCTAGAGGCATGATTACAGGCTCGATTCAGGTTATTATCACATCACTTCTTCAGAATGCTGTAAGCAAGACTGCTAACAAAGGTTGAAACTGAAGTACTAATTTTACCCACAGCAGAAACTTCTTACTTATAAAGCAAAATATGTTATTTAATTGCAAAACGTAAGTTATTTAAAAGCAAAAGATAAGTTAGTTTAAGTAGTTTAACTTCTTAGAAAGTATCAGCAAAGATGATGTTTCTTAAATAAAATAGAAAGAAAAAATTACACTATGCCCTGCTTCTTCCCACCCATTGTGACAGACCATGTTTATCTTCACAGCGCTCTTCAACCTCATACCAGTGGGACTGCGTGTTGTTGCCATCCAGGGCGTGAAAACAGGCTTGTATATAGCCATGAATGGAGAAGGTTACCTCTACCCATCAGTAAGTAATATGCCAAAGATCTTGGCCATTCGTTCAATGCATGTCGTACAACAATGGCAGCAACAACAAAAAGAAAGTTCTGTGTCTATTGATTCTGCCAGTTTTTGCCTTAGTATTTGATCTTTGAGAGAATGCTGTAGAAGCTGTTTCATCAGTGTTTGGTATTATGAGTATATCTAAAGGAAGCGGAATACTATGTCTTAAATAGTTCTTTTGCTGGATTAAAAAAAAAAACTACCTAGTTTACACGTGAATCTAATCTTTTATATTTCTAGTTACAAATGCCCTTCTCTTAGAGTTTCTCCTAAAACTCTTTTTAAAAGAAATAATATGAATTCTAAAAAAAGAAAAAAAAGCAGTGTATTTTTTAACATGAGTTTAGGTCGTATAGATATTTTACTGAAAAATAACTACTTATAATATTGAAATGTGTATTTTTTGCAAGTCTGTGTTTTGTGGTAATATTTATTGGAAGCTGAGCTCTTTTCAAGCCATATGGCCCCTTCTGAAATATTTTCTATTTACAACTAATTTGCACTCAGATGTACCGTATTCATGCATATAATGTAGTTAAAATTTATTTCTGCCACAGGTTTAAGCAATAAAAACTTAGATAAGGGTGCTTCTTTCCATTATGCCTGGAGAAAAAATGGATAGAGTCTTAAATGCATTAAAATTTTCTCTTATATGTCATTCTCATGTATATTCTTTACCTGTCATTGTTAAATATTACCACCAACAAAAGAGATCTATAGGTAAACATACACACATATTGTGTGTGTGTGTGTGTGTTGGTATGTGGTTGTGTGTATCTTAAACAGAAACATTCCCCAGGGGGCCTCCCAGAAAAGGTAATCTATTTACTTCAGTCAATTTGCGAAATCCTATCACAGGGAAGTGAGATCTGAGCTGTGGATACCCTTCACGGTGAGCTCAGAAATGCTGGCTCTTTTTACTCTTGAGCCTTCAATCTGAGCTCCCTGAAGGGTGTTCCCACACACAGAACTGGGTCCCACATTATGCAAATTGTGTACTCTAGCACAAGATGAATATGCAGCAGATTGCCAGCAAGATCAGGCTAGAATTCCCCATGCTCCCTTTAGAAAAAACATTAAATACAAAAAAGATCACTTTCTAGAGATGCCTTATTTTCAGATACAACTCAATCTTGTTGATTGGAAATTTGCTGTTATTTTTGTTTCCTTATTTTCCTCCCAAGTCATCTTTCAGGGGCTTGAACATCATTAGATGCAGTGTGTGCTGTAGCTTCTAGTTCTATCTTTCTGTTAATAATTGTATCGCATTGCAGTACTCTGATACATATGATGATGATGGGAAATTGAAATGTTTAACTTTGAGCTGCTAAGGGAGTTGCTTTTTATTTTTATTTTGGTCATGAGGTCGTAAATGTATGCCATTCTTTTTTAAAGGTAGGGTATTTCATTTTGAGTATGTGTCTTAGCCTAAAATAAAAGTACTGATTATGCTTGGTGCTGTCTAAGCAGCAGGAATAGAAACAAGAAATGCATTAACTGCCAAGTCCAGTCCCCTGCATTTTAAATACAGTTTCTGCATGTAGGAATCAGATCTCATGAAGGTCACTGTGGGAGACAGCATTTGCCCAGGGTGAGTCCAGTAACAATTTCAGGCTTATTACCAGATGCATCGTTCTCTCCTCTCCCTCCTTCCTTCTAGTTCTCCAGTGGCTTCGCTTCCAGGCCTCCCCTTTGGTGGCTTTATTCTCCGGCTTACAGATGTTGGTTTTCTTCTCTTCCCACCCTTGACTCTTTGTTCTGAACCCAAAGTCTGGTAAGAGACACAGTTCTCTCAGCCTCTACCCTAAAAGATCTCCTCTGCCAAGGCTAGGCCCCTGTACTCTTTAGCCATCTTTGGGAAGAGAACTTAGATAAAAACCGAAAGCAATTGCAACTCTGTATTAATACTTTCTAAGTAAAGTGCTCTGTTTATTTCAACGTAAAAAAAAAGTGAATGTCAAATATTTCAGTATAAATAATGTTTATCTGCAAGCGTTTATTTCATAATTTGTTACTGAGAGCCTACTAAAATAAAAATATAGACTAAAATATAACAATTTATTGTCCTATATAATACTAGTTCTACCTATACAATAACAGTAGTGCTGATAATTTGTACAGTTCACCCAGCCTGGCACTGGTCTAAGCACTTTACTTGTATTAGCTCATTTAATTCGCCCAATAAGCTTTTATAAGCAAATATTATTACAATGAGGACACTGATACACAGAGAGTTGAAGAATTTGCCCAAAGACATTCAGGTGTAGATAGAAAAGGTAAGATTTGAGCATAGTTAGTGTGATTCATTAGCTTACATTTTTAACTGTTTCATTATACTGCTTTCATGTGCCAGACATTTTTTCATAATATGGTCTGACACCTTTTCTAACAAGAAGTTACAAACACATTATGATATAATGAAAATCTTTAGGGAATTGTTACCTAGGGAATAAACTGTGTTTCAATGCAATTATTGTGAAGTACAATTTCAAACATAATCTGTTTCCTTTAAATATTTTTAAGTAGAAATTAAAATTTTAGAAAATTACATTTGTCAAGGAAATGTTTGGTATTATATAAGGATATTAAACATTTTTTATCTTTATTGCATTTCACATTTGAGCTTTAAGTGTTTTTTGTTTGTTTGGTTTTTGAGGTGGAGTCTTTCTATATTGCTGGTCTGGAGTGCAGGGGGGTGGTCTCGGCTGACTGCAACCTTCGCCTCCCAGGTTCAAGCGATTCTCCTGCCTCAGGTTCCCGAGTAGCTAGGTTGCACCCACCACCACACATGGCTAATTTCTGTATTTTTAGTAGAGACGAGGTTTCACTGTGTTGGCCAGGCTGGTCTCAAACTCCTGACCTTGTGATCCACCTACCTCAGCCTCCCTGCTGGGATTACAGGCATGAGCCACCACGCCCGGCCACAGCTTTAAATTTTAAAAGCTATGACAAACGTTGTTAACCCAGCTAAGAAGTTTTTAAATAAGATGAGTAAATTTTTGAAAAGCTTAGATTTACAAAAAGGAATTTATGAAGATTTAAATCTAAGAAATGAAGTCATCCATTTTAAGCTTTTGCCTACTTTTTTAAAAAAATTAATTTTTCTGCAGTGTAAACTAGTGTCTAATATGGAATCAATTTTTTTGAGGATCCATAGGTTTAGATGTTGTCAATAAAATGCTCAGGTCATTCAAATTGAGTTCTGGTAAACAAATATCACAACAGTGATTTGACTTGAGCTATATCTTCCTCTATTTTTATCTCACGAAGTAACTCTCATAATCCCTTTGCTATTTGAGTAAGATATTTAATGTGTCAGATAATTCTACCTTCTGGAGACAGTAAAAAGGTACTTGACTGAGTTGTAAGTTCCCATTTCCAGTGCTAAAGGTACCTGTTCTCTGAGGGATCTTTTCTTCAATATGACAAAAGTTATTTCTTTTGTGTCCTAATAATTGCAATATGGTACTTGATATTGCGCTACAAGAGATGTAATGTCAGATACAAGCCATTTGATTGAAGGTACAGTGTGGGCTGCAGGGACACAGAAAAGAACCTGGCAGAGTAATAATTCTGCCAAGAAATTAGACAGTTTAAAATGTTGTTCATGAGCAAAAATGTGCTTTCACCCCCTGTAACCATTTCTAGTGCTGAGAGAAGCAGTCAAGTTTTTTGTTTGCTTGTTTGTTTTCTGAACCTGTGACTTCGAAAGACTAAGAAAATCCTCCACAGAAAGCCAGGGTTTGGAGTGTAAATTCTAAACAATAAGAAAAAACTGGGAATGAAAGGAAAAGCATCACTCATCATCAGAGCAGTGATAAAGGATTGTTGAAGTGAGAATGTGTTTCTAGCATAAGAAAGATGGGGAAGAAAAGGACGGAAAAGAGACTGATGATATGCTGACTACATCCCTGGGCTTTATTCAGAATGCCTGGGTCCTGAATCTGACAGCCAATACCTGTGTTAAAACTTCCCAGTCTCTCCTGGTCTGTCCCCTCATCTGTCAGATTACAGGATTTCCCTTGAAGCCTCAAGATAATGGTGGGGTTTAGAATTCTGGTTTTAGTCTGATTTATTTTTCTGAATAATAAGTTAATTTATCATAAAATACATAAAGATTCATTACTGCTATTTTTCACAGGCTGGCATTTATGAGAATATTATTTTCCTCCTGGTGCTGTAAATGCTTCCATGATCTAGGTGCAGTCATCTGGGCAGTCAGTAAGTGCTGGTGTTCTCCTGAAATTAGCAGCTCACCTGAGTCTCTTAACCAGATTGTATAAGTAGAGAGGAAGATAATCCCTTTTCTAAACCAGGAAGATGTACTACTACCATGTTTTGCAAATATTAGGGCTCAAGTGAATTACCTGGAAGGCCAAGAAAAGTGATCTTCCTTGGATCACCCTCTAGATATTTTAGTTCAATGGGTCTAATGGGAGGCCAAAGAATCAACAGTTTGTGGGGATCACCCTCCCTCACTTTTGCCCTTGATTCTAAAGTTACTATTTCAGCCATGGACAACCACCACACAACAAGCATTACTGCAATGGTCTCTGGGGGAGATGGTGATAATGTTAGACCAAGGTGATGAGAACAGAATTGGTGAAAATCAGCAAATGGTCTACTCAGGCACCGAAGTTAAATATTTGGATCTTCTGACTTTTCTACCACTAAGCTGAAGTTTACAGAAGTTTGAAAGCAGATCAGCATACTTCTTCACTGATGCAACAACCCAGAATTTCTGGAATAAGGACTGGTCACCTCTTTGGGCTGGCCTCCTCTCTCCTACCTATCAGTACAGGATGAATATGTATGTATGAATATTCTTTAATCAAGGAAAGCAAGATAAATGCTATGTATTCCTCAATAAGCATTTTCAAGGTTCTCAAAGTCTTATTACGCTACTTAAGATAGTGTTCTGATAACATATCTTTCAGGAGCATTTTCAAATGAGCCTCTTCTACA